GTGGGGGGGGGGGGGGGGGGGGGGGGGGGGGGGGGGGGGGGGGGGGGGGGCTCCGTTTGTGTTGTAGCGGCGTTCAGAACGAGGGAGGATGCAGGGTACGGAGGGGACACCAATGGTTTTCATCTTTGCTGGTTTTTGTTGTCGTCGCTGTGATGGTTGCTGTTGCTGCTCATGTTGTGTTGTTGAGGAGAACAATGTTTAGGTGAAGCGGCGCATGAGGACGTGGGGGGTGGGGCGCAAAACAGGGTGGACATGTGTGGCTACGGGTACAGTCAGGTGGCAGTTACAACCGTCGCCTTTGAGGATCGAAGCACCTGCGCTATCCCTTCCGGCAATCCACCCAACGACCCGCCCCCCTCACCTCCCTCCCCCCCACCGTCCTCTTCCTCGTCCTCCCGCGTCTGATACCTTTTTCATCGGCGGCGCTGCGGCGGCGGTGGCCAGGTTCATGGTGTACACGTGCCTGCCTGACGGCAGGGCCGACGAGGACAGCGTCAGGGTACAGCTCTACAGCCGGGCGAAGACCATGCGCCAGATCTGCGCGGACGTGAAGAGCAGCCTCAACCTCACCCCGCATGTGGACACGCGTCTGAGCCTCAAGAAGCTGGAGGAGGCTGAGCAAGGTCTGTGTTTCGCGCGCGTGCTGGCGGCTGTGTTGATTTGTGGTGTGTGTAACCGAATGTGTGTTTTTTGTTATTGATAGCATCATCCGCGCGGACCGGCTGACCGATGAGAGGACGTCAGTCTCTAGGTGTGGTGAAACACCGATGAAGCGTGTGTGTGTGTTGGCGCCGACCACGCCGACCGGCTGACCATTCAAAGGTACGGCTACGTCAGCGGTTAGAAATGGTTGTCCTAGAAGGAGGCCGAGATTCTTCAACGTGATTTCGCCGTTATGTAGTGTGTCGACTCTTTACGAGGGCAGCTGAGGGACGAGCTACTTTACCGTAGCGGTCGAAACTCACGCCAAACGCCTCTTTTTCTGTTTGTCAGTCCCTCGTGTTATATGGTTTGAATAGCACTCGCATGTGGCACCACAGGCAGCTTGTGTGTGGCCAGGACGGGAGCCAGCTTCTCCCTTGGAAAAAAGCTATGAACGCCGATTTGACAAATGATGAGAAACATGCAGATCATATCACCAGCAGCAGCAGCAGCAGCAGCAGCAACAGCTTTGGAGGGATGGTGACAGTGCCGATCCCTGGCGAATACGCGAGAAACCGATGTCCAAATTCACCAACATTAACCGATGTCGTGGCATGCCCGCAGGGGTGGACGGCGCGACGGCGGCAGCGACCGCGTCTGGTGGGGGGAGCACTGAAGGCGCTGAAGACGATGGTTGGCAGGTGAGAGCCGTTTGGCCCCGTTCCTCGGAACGATTCCGAAAGCATGGTCACCCCGTCCGCACCTCGTGAAGGATGACACCGATGTGGCCTACAGAGTCTCGTCCGTGGTAACGGTGTTGTGCAGCCTTTCGGCCAGCTCACTTGTCGTTTGAATGCCACTGCCCCACAAGCTTGTTACATTTTTTTTCTGGGAAGGGCCGTCGGCAGCGTGCTCACAATGTTGCGGTTTAGGCTGACAGTTGGGGCCGAGCTACGTACGGGACACCGGAGTTTGTACGGGACATGGGGTATTTGCACCCGTGTCTTCGCGGCGCACCCACACCGTGCCATGTAGTCATGCTACCACGGGCATACTCAGCTAGCGTCGGTGATGTGCGCCAGAAGGGTACGTTTGCCACGCGATTGCTATCTCTTTGGTTGGAAGATAAAGCTCATGCGAAGATTAATACTGGTGCCAACACAAGCAACGACGCATATGTGTTTCCGAGATGTTTGCCGCTGTTTTCTTTTGTTTTGTCGTTTGATTTGTTGGCGCGTGGTCTACTCGATGCCGGGGAAACGCGTGCTGGGGGCTGGGGGTGAGAAGGCGATACACCTGGAAGAGGTCAGCCAATCGCTGCACGAGGTCATGGGGGACACACAGGTGACTTAGTTGTTGTTGATAGTGGTGATGGTAGTCGTGGTTATTGTTGTTGTTGTTGTTGTTGTTGTTGGTACTGAGAGTAGTGTCGTTGCTCGTTGTTGATGATGGTGAGGCAGTCGTTGGTGAGCATGCGCGGGTACCGAAGGTCGAACTGCTCTGCTTGCGAGAGGCAGGCACGCCACATGGGCTTGTCGGGTGTACGTGTTCCCCTCGAAGGGACCAACGACAGTAGGGGGTCCCCCGACAGCTGATTGGTTGACTCACGCCCCCATGCCCCTCCGTTCGGACCGAGTTTGTCGTCCCGTCATCATCATCATTGTTGCTCGCAGAGCTGATTGATTTGCTCCCCCGTGCCCCTCTGGCCGAATTTCTTCATCTCATTGTTGTCCTCGCCGCTTGTTTTGTGTCGCCGACATGGTGAGGTATGCCCATCCTCTCGAAACGAGTTTTTGTGATCCCATCACTCGTCCCGTCCTCGCTGCTTTATTTCGATATGAATGGGGTCTTCTTTCAGTCGGTGGCGCTGCTTGTGGAGACTAAGGACACGTCGGACCCGGCCGCCTCCACCAGGTTTCCCAGGGATCACATCCTACTCAGATGGCGGCTCAACCTTAAGGCCGGAGACCTCATCGACGCCAGGTGCGCGCGGCTACCGTAGGTGACCTGACGTAAGATGTCAGACCCCTTCGATTTCTCCAAAGCAGACAGAGTGGCAGCGGTGCCAAAAGTGGCGGCGTAGGAGTGGTCTCGTGGCGAGCTTCCTGGAAACGTGTCTTTTGTTTCGTAGATGGATCGTCTGCGTCATGGAGTATTTGAGCTTTGAAAAATCGCTCTGGGGGGTGTGGTATCTTGTGTCACCTTCCGTGGGGACGAATGAATCTTGACTATTTTGTCTCATGGTGGGCAGTTTTATTGTTCGGTGTTTCGACGTTTCCTACTCCTCCAATTCTTACCTTTGCATCCTTCGCGGAAGCTGTGAGGGAACTAACTGTTTTTTTTTTTATTTCTTGTTCCCGGCAAATGACAAAAGAACTGACTACTCGCTGTCCAGAAGAGCAAGCTCCAATGTGTCCGTGTCGGTTAGTGCTTCCAAAACAAATCAAGTAGTTACTTTCGGCAAAAAACGCAAAAAACGCTCTGTGTTGGTTCTTCTGTTTGTGCCCCGTGGTGTTGACGTCTTCGTTCTTGTTTGTTACTGTAATTGCAGAGACTCAGACAAGAACTGGTTCGAATCGAGAGTGACGGAGGTAGATGTGGACGGGGACCCGGAGCTAGTGAAGGTAAGAGCGGGCGGGGGCGTCGAGGGGTTGCGGGGGTTGGGTGTACCTCATGTATCCGCATATCGTGGTCGGTAAACCATAGACCTCGCATCCAGGGAGTGGCGTTGTGTACACTTGTGTTGCACCATGTCTTAAATGCCATTGGCCACGCGTCCGCGAGAGAGGACGCAGCATCCCCAAGGGAGAACGTACGCAGCATCCCTAAGGGGGGACACCGAGCCCCGCACAACCTCAGGGCGGCCCCGGGCTTGCGTTGGTCCGGGTCTTGCCGAAGTAGGAGGGACTACGAAGTGCATTTCGGTGCAGGCGTTGGAGGAAGTTCGAGGGACGTGGGTTTTACACGTTATTCCTACGCCATGCATGGCGTCTTGCATGACGTCAACAAACCCTCTCGGGTTGTTAACCCCATCCATCCGCAGTTCCTGAGGTCGGGAAGTAGACCCTTGTGTACATCTTTTGGGAATTCTGCAAACAATTTCGAAGATAATACCCCTTCTGACTACAGTCGTTGTCCGGTTTTAGCGGTCCCCGTGGTCACAAAAATGTCGTAGACGTTATTGAAGGCACCGCCGCTAAACCGGGTCGGCTATTGAGTACCGAGTGAGTACTTGGAGTAGCAACTTGGCTACCCAGGTGCAGCGGTGCCACGAGACTTTGCAACCGCTATTCATGGCCATCCCGCCAAGCAGGGAACCGCAGAGCCGAGACAACGACCGTATAACCATACTTAATTGTTTCCGGCAGCGTTGGTCCACACCTTGGTTCCAAGGGTGCATCGGCGCTTGCAGCTCTTGTTTTGCCTCTGTTTTTGTAGGCCTTGGTATTGCTTGTTTTTTTTCCCGGGGGCGACGCAGGGTTGCAAAGCAAAAACCCGCGTCAACCCCCTATCGGTCATGACTTTTTTTTTTGTTGTGTGTGGCGGAGAATGACGGAGGTTGAGGAAACCACACCCCTCCGGTGTGACTGATTGCACCCGTCACAGACATCTGTTTGTGTTTTTTGTGGAGGAGATAAAGGGAGCTGAGAAACCCAAAGCCGACCGTTATCATTGATGGCATCCGTGCGTGTCTGTTTGTTGCGCAACCTCCACGCGGAGAAAACCAAATCCTAACGTTGTCATTGATGGCATCCGTGCGTGTCTGTTTGTTGCGCAACCTCCACGCGGAGAAAACCAAATCCTAACGTTGTCATTGATGGCATCCGTGCGTGTCTGTTTGTTGCGCAACCTCCACGCGGAGAAAACCAAATCCTAACGTTGTCATTGATGGCATCCGTGCGTGTCTGTTTGTTGCGCAACCTCCACGCGGAGAAAACCAAACCCTAACGTTGTCATTGATGGCATACGTGCGTGGCTGTTTGTTGCGCAACCTCGACGCCTGGCGCTTGGCTCGGGAAGGTTCACTTCCTGGGGTGGTCGGAGAAGTGGGACGAGGTTCTCAAGCGGAGCTCGGAAGCGCTGCAGAAGCTTCACACCTTCACCACGCCGTGGCGGCAGGTGATGCAAGAAGCAAGAAAAAGTACCTATGATCACAACCTGCTGGACCAAGGAGCAGGCCTTCGGGCGCCCTCTATTCTCGATGAAGACTCTGGTCATTTTCCGATGATTGGGACAATCGCGATGAACATGTTTCAAGATGTTGAATTGTTTTGTTCGCCTTTTTGGGGGGGGGGTTATCGCTGCTAGTCTCGCGTTCGTGCGAATAAATATCAGCAAAATATCACCAGGACCTTCAAGTAAACTCCAAGTGCGCGTGGTTTCGTGAAGTCACTCATCCACTTGTTGGACGTGTTCGCCGTTGGTCTCGCATGTGAAAAGAATAAATTACCAAATAGCGACCAGGACCTTCAAGTGAAGTCCCAAGTTCTTGGAATTGTTCGTTCGCTTAGGGACTTCCGCTGTTGGTCTCACGTGCGACAAACAAACACCTAATGTGACCAGGACCTTCAAGTGAACTCGAAGTGCGAGGTGTCCTCCTGCAGGAATGAGGTGAAGAAGTGGTACGAGGCCACCGTGGGGGAGGTCAAGCACGAGGACGGAAAACGCCTGCTGTACATTGAGGTGCGTCACGGCGCCCCCCCCCCCGTCCCCCTCCTTGGTTTTTTGTGTTGTTGTTGAGATGTGTCAAGGCGCTAGACCCTATTCCTCCGTTGAAGTATTTTTTTTGTATAGTTTGACATTGAAGCCTGGCGATTTTGCCCTTTTTTTTGTTGGAAGCACTGCTGTAGCTGCACATTGCGGTAGGGTGCCTGTGTATGGCTTGCGGTGGCGTGAAACCAGGACAGCAAGCGGATGCGGCACGTTTGTTTGTATTCTGGTGGTGGTTCATGTTCAACCACGTTGTTCATGTAATCTCGCGTCGTGCGTATGCCGTTGACATTGGCGAGTAGAACAACGCCGTTTGCGATGTTGAACGCTGTTGTTGTTTGCTGTCGCGACAGCTAGCTATTGGGTAGAAATCTCCTCTTATTACAATCGCGGGCCGTGCGCGCACGCAACTCGTTTTATGTTTGTGTGAACTTTTGTTGTGCGGCCCTTGTTCGAAAGGTTCATCAGTTGTTTGTTTCCAATGGGTCGCCGACGTTGACCATTTCTTGTCGGTGAGTGCCGCGGACTGCTGTGACGAGACCTGGGAGGTCCCTCAGAATCCCTCACCCTTGTGCAGGTCATAAAATACGCCGTCCCATTTCTCTAGTACTCAAGGCTGGTTGTAGCCGATTGTTTTGTTCAGGTCTCCGACAACGAGAACCCTTGAATGAATGTCATGCAACACGCCGTCCCATTTCCTTACATTCGTCGCCGGGGTTGATCGTTTTTTTAGCTTAGCCCCTGTGCGCATTCTACGCGCTGCCCTATCTCCCTATTCATCGCTGGGTTTGATCGATGTTCAACCCTTGTGTGCATACAACATGCCGTCTCATTTCCCTGATAGTCTTCGCTGTGTTACTTTGTCGTATTTTGTTGTTGTTGCAGGTCTCAGACAACGACGTCGAGAGCCAGTGGATGCCGGAGGACAGCGAAGAGATATGCAAGGCTCACACGCACATCAACAAGTCCCTCCCCGCCCGGACCCACAAGTACGCCACCCTAACCCCTTCTAAAACCCCATTTCATTCGGTTTAAATGGTAGAGGTTCACCAATCCTCGCGTGTACCAAGCCCCCAATATCATCACGTGGTTACTTTTAGGGCGAATTGTTTTGCCCTCCGGAAGACTGGAACAAGGTTGAGATACCGTTTTTTTTTGCTTTTGAGTGCTTCCCCGGTCGAATATACCGAGTACGTAGCTGTTGGCACGATTCTCGCTCCTCGCCCTGGCGTAGAACAAGGATACGGTTCTCCTGTAGTTCTTACGGCCGTTGGTGATGCTAGCTGTTATGCGTACGCGCTCTGATTGGTCGAGCATTGGTTCGGCCGGTCGATTCCTCTCCAGCGCCGTCTCTCTCTCTCTCTCTCTCTGTCCCGAAATTCAAAGAGCGCGTGGCATCCGCCAGGCCGTCCGTTTACCGTGTTTGAGGGTTAGGATTAGGATTGGTTTGGGCCGGCGCGGTGTGTGACGCACGCCGTGTTCGGAGGAGCTACGGTTGTTTTCATCCGGTCAGAGACCTAAAGGGCCACGAATAGACCTCTTGTCTCGTACTCGACGACTGCCCCCCTTTTCCGCTTGGATCTCCCCTCCGCACCGGGAATTGATACTGACAGGATAAATAGACCGCCGGTGATCGGTCCCGTGGAAACAATTGCTCCATCCTGTCGAGGACGCCTGGCTAAAAATCACGACATGAGTACCCACGCCCCACACACACACACACCAACCGCACAATGCCAACATTAAAAAAAACACACACAAACACACCTCCGCGTGGACCCCTCCGCCCCCCCCCCCCCCCCCCCCCCCCCCCCCCCCCCCCCCCCCCC